AGAAAGAATTTCGAGGGGAAAAAGTTTGACAGACCTAGTATAGATAAATATAAGAATCGAAATTTTTGATATTATGATGGTTTTATGTTACATTCTTACATATCTTTAGTTAAATATTTATAGAAAATATACATATTCTTAGTTGTCACTTGTTTTCACAAACATGAAATTTGTGAATTTTTATATATTGCATCATACAAAAATATAACTGTAAGAGAGTGTACTTTCTAAAAATATTGTATATATGATATGTTAGAAAATATTGTTTAAATTGTTTAATGAAAAAATATTTAATTTGAAAATTTTAAATGTGATCCAAGCGTTAGTAAGTGTGCATACTTCATTTATGTATTACTTATGTATAACGATTGACATTGCATACGATAGATGGCTGCAGTGTAATGGTTTTTCTCGTAACAGTTAAAGTTCCTAATTTATATATAACTGTTGTAAAAAGAAAAAAAATGTTGCAATACTCTGGATATTAATGTCAAGTATTGATATTAATATATATTATTATCCATATTAAATTTTTGGGGGACGAAACAATTCCCGCCTTTGAAAATTACAAAACTGAAAATCTGTCGTTCTTTTTTTTATAACCAATATATTTGTAACTTTAAAACTTGTATGAAATAAAAAGAAATGTTTTTTATTGGGTAAACATTTTAAAAATATTTGTCTTACAAAATATTTTTGTTACATAGTTTTTAAAATTTATGAAAAAATTTTTCGATTTTTATATTAATATTAATCATAAAAATAATCAAATCATTCCAACTTCTGAAAAGTAGTATTGTACATTATACGTCCAATGAATTTGTATTGAGTTAACGTTTTTATTAGATGTTGCTTAGCTACATTAATCCAAAAATAGTTATAGTCAAAAGTACGAATTTATATTTCATATTCACAAGGCATTAGGACATATTAATTTTTTTCTATTTATTATATATCAAGTATGCATATATGCATTAGAATAAGTTTTTAGAATATAAAATAAAAATTATAAAAAGTTTTTTTTTACTCCAAACCAATTTTCGATAATTTATATACTAGCCAATAGATGGCTTCGGAGTTATTATTTTACTCGCAATAGTAGAAACTACCTAAACTAAATATAAGTTGAGTAAAGAAGATAATAGATGCAATACTCATAAAATATCCATATTAAATTTTTGAAAGTGGATCTTTTTCCCATTCTGAAGGTTTATAAAATTAAATTCATCGTCCTTTTCCGTATAATCGAACATTATAAACTTCAAAACCTTGTATGGAATAGAAGAAATGGTTTTTTTATTATTGCATACACGTTTTAGAAATATTTATGTTTCAAAATATTCTTGTTACATATTTTTTATATCGAAAAATTTATGAGGAAATATTTCGGTTTTTATATTACTGCTAATTAAAAAAATAAACAGATTATTCCAATTTTTGAAAAATATGTGCATTATAAGTCCAACAAATTTATATTAAGTTAACGTTATTATTAAATGTTGCTTAGCTAAATTAATCCAAAAATAATTATAGTCAAAGGTACTTATATAGTCAAAAATAATTATAGTCAAAAGAATTTATACTTCATATTCACAAGGCATATATTAATTTTCTTCAAGGAATATATTAATTTTCTTTTATTTATTATATATCAAATATGCGTATATGCATTAAAGTAAGTTTTTAGAATATAAAATAAAAATTATAAAAAGTTTTTTTTGACTCCAAACCAGTTTTCGATAATTTATATACTAGCCAATAGATGGCTTCGGAGTTATTATTTTACTCGCAATAATAGAAACTACCTAAACTAAATAAAAGTTGAGTAAAGAAGATAATAGATGCAATACTCATAAATTATCCATATTAAATTTTTGGAAGAGGAAATTTGAAATTTTCCACGTTAGTTTATATGAAACAAAATTAAAGTAAAACTTTTTCTAGATATACGAAACGTTTATACTTATACTGCGTACTAAATATTTTTAATTGGTTTGTAATGTATCTCATTTATAAAATATTATAAAATGTGAAAAATTAAAAATTTTATATTTATTAATTTGTTAATAATGTGTATCACATTATAAAATATAATATGTAATTTCTATTCCTTCTTGATACTACTACTTTCAAACTTCATACAGTTTTATCTCAATTTGTAGTTATAACCACTTTAAAGAAGTAATATAAAACAAAAAAAAATCTCTTCTACTTATATCTCTTTTTTAATTCTCTATTAGTAACACCTAGCCCAAAATTGTTTATCCTTTCAACTTTTTTTAATTCCCTTTCTTTTGTCTGAGAGAGATTTAAAGTTTTACCCCTCTCAGATCTCCTAAAGAGTTGCTTTATATAATAATAGAGTATCGAATTTATTCGCAACTTACTAGTCTTTGGATGTTGTGTCTAGTATATACATGTTAAGTTAAATATATTATTTATTTTATTATTATTAAAATTAATGTTAAGAAATGTGCAAACATGTTGAATTAATTAAAATATCTACATATTTAAAAAAAAATTATACAATACTATAATAATTTTCTAATAACAGTAAATATTGTAATGAACATATTACATTAATTATAAGTGTAAAATATTTCATAGGAAATTAATTTCACAACTAAATTAATCTAATTCTTCTAAATAATCTTTTAAGTATGAATTTAATCATTTTTTCATAGAATGATCCAAAACTATAGAATTAACTTGATTGAATATTGTTTAAATATTTTCTTTCTAATGAAACAATTATTTTTTATGCATTTATAAATGTAAAAATTAATTTATATAAAAAAATATTAATTTACTATTATATATTATTCTCAATATATTACTTTTAAAACATGAAATGCGTAATTGTTTAGTACATTTAGTTTAGTACCAGTTTGTATCCAAACATAAGAATGTTATTAGAAGACTAAAACTAGCTAAAGATTGCTTGGACAATACATGGCTTTTTGCTTTTATCCTTTTACAATATTTTGATTGTCTTTGGTCAGATCAATTCTTATCTATGATCAAAGTTATCAATTATTTGTTACAGATATTCAAATGTAATACTTTTAACTAATAAGTGAAAACTTTGTTAAATGATTTTCAATTTATTTATTATATTTATTATAATAATTTATTTTAAAAATTGCTAATTTTGTTATGAAAGTTAAAAGGAATTCATGACTATCATTGAATACCAGTTGAATCTGAACATAAATTTGCCAAAGATGAAGTTGTCTGAACAAAATATTTTATATATAAAAATTTATTTCTATACGTTTATTTCTAATATGTAAATTCAAAGTAATAAACTTTCTGAAATAACCGAATAAATAAGCGAATAAAAGTAAAATTAACATCCTAAACTAAAGACATATAATAAACAAGAATACGTCTCAACAAAAGAAACATTAAAAACAAAACTTACCCAAAATTTCTGCAAATTTAACAATTTTTCGAAATAATCACAAAAAACTTTCTCCGATTACTACTTATAAATAACTATTATTACCTGTTTGTTTATAGAACAAATGTAAATATATAAAAATATGTATTTCTATAAATTAGAAAATGTCCAATGAATGGTCATCGTGAGAAGACGCCATTTTGTCTGTCGTAATTGCGTCGGTGCGCCTCTGAAAATACGAACCCGTGATATTGATGCGCATATGTGCTGCGTGGTCAAGGAGTAGTCACAGAGGGTGGAGGGTCATGTGACTTTGGCAAAGGCGCTTCCGGATTGGCCAGTTCATATTCGATGACGCAGTAAGTTACACGACGCGCGAACCTAGGATAGTCACAAGTTAAACGAATCCAAACGATGACTGACGAGCGTATCCACCCATTCCTATTTAGATACTTGTACTATTAATACTTCATAATTTTTTCTTATATTAATTTTACATACATTCTGTAGTATCTGAGATCTAATTGTCTATATTCTTCTTCGTACTGATTTTCTTTAAGAGGGGGTAATCTACTGTTTCTATTTTGAGATACATAATTATTTTTTTCTTTTTCTATAGTCTCTAAAATATTAAAATTATATATAATAATATTAAATATATATCATATATATTAATATTAAAATTATATATAATAATATTAAATATATATTATATATATTAATATTAAAATTATATATATAAATTATATATTATAAATATTAAAATTTTTAATAACTGGGAGATTTAAAATTGCCTCTGTTCACAGAATATATATAATTTTAACTTGGATTATTTAAAATTTTCATTTCAATATTTTTCTCTAAACATACATAATGATTGAGTAATGATCAATGCCTTGTCTATACTTCCAAAATTTCTGACATCTACATTGTCTTTTAACATTACGTTATAAAATATAAGATAAAAGAAAAATGTACTCATAATATATAAAAATATATTATAAATTATAAAATATATAATATTATAAATTATAAAAAATATAATATTATAAATTATAAAATATATAACATATTATCTTAATATATCATAAAATAACTTAAAGAAACTCCATCAATCCTATGAAAAGATCGATAACGTATGTATTACATTGTACTTACAATATATTATAAATTAATAATATATTATAAAAATATATTACAAATTAATATATATATAAAAGTATATTAATTTATTATAAATGTATATAAATTAATAATATATACTAAAAATATATTATAAATTAATAATTTCAAGAATCCCATGAAAAGATCAATAACGTATTTACACTATGTTATATATTATTACATTGCACATTCGTTATCAAAGCCATTGCATTACTATTTTTATTACGATTACATTTGAATCGAATATCTTCGAATGTTATCGACTCCGTTTGAAACAATACGCCCGACATGCATCATCGAGCGATCGTTAAAACACATTATCGAGAAGTATTGCGGGATTTAAAAAACTATAAGGGACTTTGTAGTGGGGGTAACGAGTTACAGGAGAAAGATCGGGCACGAGTGTTCCAGCATTCCGTAACGGGCGCTCGTGATCGACGGGAGTGTTGTAACGGCGTGAAAGACCTTTCATTCACAAAGATTGGAAAAAAAAATCGATCAGCACGATTTCTCGTTCGAGGTAGAACGACATCGTTTCGCGATCAAACTTGACGATACTTATTGTCATCGAAAATTTCGATCATCAGGACCTTATGAGGACGATATCACGCGGTATCCTAACCTCATACGATGCTTTTTGAACATGACAGAAGACACACTGACGTCGGAAGATTCTGCCAGGTATCTCGAAATTAATAATTCATAATAGTTTTTTTTTTTTTTCTTATAAAAATAAATCACTCGTGCAAATGGTATTTGTTATATTGGAGCATGTTTTGAAATGTTATTGTAGCATATTTTTCCTTCTCGTGACGCGTGCGGTACCATTAAAATTTGGTACCGCACGCGTCGCAAAATTTAGTAATTATCATAGTAACCACCGAGTAATAGTTATGTTATTTGTATTTTTAAAAAAAATTGATAAAATGTAATTTTTAGATTGTATTATTCTCAAATTTTGATAATGAATATTATATTGTTTCTGTATCTCTGAAAGAATTGCTTAAATAATTTAAACAAAATCAATACTAATCTAGCTTTCTCTATTATACAAATTTTTAAATAATATACTCTAAACTGACATAATTTTTTATTTAAAAAAAAAAAAGCTAGAAGAATGATATTCTCCAATACTTCTTAAAAATCTTAATATTGATTAAACTGTAATTATCAAATATATTTCTCTCGTTCTTCCTAAAATAAAATCTGAGGAATTGCAACGAAAGACAACTCAGCTTTGAAAAAGAAAACAGAACGAAAAGAAAAGATTTAAAAATATATATATATGTATATGAAAAAAAAAGAAAAAAGAAAGTAGAAAATTACGTAGAAGCGTGTTGCACAAGTTGAAATTCGCACGATGCGAGCGTCGTGATTATCTTTTCGCCGTGCGCGCACTGTCAGCGTACTTCTTAATTGACGTTAACAGGTTTTCTTCCTGTACGAATACCTTCTTCTTTTTTATCTTCTCTTTCTCTCTCTCTCTCTCCAGAGATCTATCTTACGCGATAAAGTATCTTTTTTTTTTTCACGTGAACGTGACGTCACATTTACGGGTATAACGACCCCTTGCATGGCTCATGTATTATCATGTTATTATAATTGAACCGCGCTTTCGGCGCACTAATTGAGAGAGTGAGCATAATTAATTAGGAACGGGCTGGCCGTATCGAATTGTTCGCCGCTCGACTATTTGCTAAAAAACTTGTACGTACCACGTTAAAATATCGTTTACCGGTCGACCATCCGCCCATAAATATAATTGCATTTCAAACGCATCGCCGTAAAACGTTGATCCAACCACTCGATAATTACAGGCAAGTAATCTCGAGAGAATCGTTTATAGTACTTGTACTTTCGCCATGTCTTATCGTGTACTTCGTATAATCTAGCTTTATATTAGCACTTTCTCATAATATTCTTATCCTTGTAATAAGTATCTACAAGCAATCTACATATATAGGGTGTCTTATTTCAATTTTTCTATGCAGATATATATATAATATAATATAAAATAATATAATATAATATATATAAAATAATATAAAATAATATAATATAATATATATAAAATAATATAAAATAATATAATATAATATAATATAATATATATATATATATATATATATATATATATATCTGCATAGAAAAATTGAAATAAGACACCCTATATATGTAGATTGCTTATAGATACTTATTACAATTTATATATATATATATTTTTTTTTGAGCTGTTTGTTACTCATTAAAAATATTTTAGTCGAAATTTATTCCATTATAGAAACATCCTTTGACGAGTGTAATATTTTTCTAGATGAAGTCATTTCCAAAATTTCTATTCTTTCTAAATCAAACTATATCCACAGGTGCAATATTATCTAATATTAATAGATTTATTCTATTTCTGTATAATATTTAGAACATTTAGAACAATTAGATATTTAGAACGTTTTATGTTTAGAGTATTTTATCACGGCATAACAAATAGTTTAAAGTTACAAACTCACATAGAAGAGTTATGTATCGAGACACCCTGTGTAACGTCCAGCTCGTCAAAATTGCAAACCGAAGAAGCCACACCGCGGCCGAAAGGAAGGGAAAAACTCGATTGAGATATAAAAAACTATATACCATATTTATAAGCGCAAATTAGCATCATAAATTGCTCTTATATAAATGATCTCTCCCCGGTATATCTCGAAATCAAGCGAATTACCTTTTCGAAGAACAGAACGACCTTGCTGCCTCGGTCAATGTTCTCGCTTTCGAATTCGAGAAAAATCCCGCGGCCACGGCGAAATATCGAGAGCGGTCTGCTCGTTTGCTCGTTTTTTTTTTTTTTTTTTCTTTGCTTTTCACGGCAGACAGACAGACAGACAGACAGAGAACGGGCTGCGAGCTTCTTTTTTTTTCCAACACGATCGGTCGTGCCAGAATGATTCGATACGCTTCCACTTTTTTTTCTCTCTCTCTCTCTCGCTCTCCTCTCTGTCTTTCTCTCTTCTTCATCGGCCTTTTTTCGTGCGATTTTTCTCCGTTCCGGTCCGTCGTCGTCGCTCGACGCCGCAAAATCGTTTGATCGATCGCTTTCACGAACTCGCATTAAAATGATCGCTCTCCCAGAGCGGTAACATTTGAAACAACACGCGAAACACCAGCTCGATTTTTCGACCGATTGCACAACCGTTGTGAATCGATATCTATTTACGTGGATGTATTTCGAGAGAGATTCGACGTAACTTCGTAGAAACTGACTGCAGAGGATTTTTTTGTTGATAATCTGTTGTTTATTTGATTTGAAATGCACTTTCGTGTGTCTGCGTGCCATCTCGCCGAGTCGAGTTGCTTGAATCCAGTAATTTGAGCGAGGATTGACGTGAAATTAAAGAACTCGACATGTTTTTCTTGCATTTTAAACAGAGTCGAGGTTCTCCCCGATTATTTTTGGACTTGAAATGGTCGTTACTAAGCAATATAATATGGTTTTCAACCTGTACTTGTTGATATTCGTAAATACCCGAATAATCATTGCAGGCATCTCCACTTCAGAGAAGTCAGATTAACTGTTTGATTTTAAGTCAGGTAATTTAACTTGTGTCACCACTAGCTGGAAGTTTGATTAATCTAAGGCTTGCGGTAGATTTATAACAAATATCTTATTAAGGTTACTTTATTAAAGTTTGTTAATCTCCATAAACCGGAAAAAAGAACTTATTATAATATTATTATAAAGAACTTATAATATTATAAGAACTTATTATAATATTATTATAAAGAACTTATAATATTACAAGAACTTATTATAATATTATTATAAAAAACTTATAATATTATTATAAAGAACTTATAATATTATAAGAACTTATTATAATATTATTATAAAAAACTTATAATATTATTATAAAGAACTTATTATAATATTATTATAAAGAACTTATAATATTATAAGAACTTATTATAATATTATTATAAAGAACTTATAATATTATAAGAACTTATTATAATATTATCATAAAGAACTTATAGTATTATTATAAAGAACTTATTATAATATTATTATAAAGAACTTATAATATTATCATAAAAAACTTATTATAATATTATTATAAAGAACTTATAGTATTATTATAAAGAACTTATTATAATATTATTATAAAGAACTTATAATATTATCATAAAAAACTTATTATAATATTATTATAAAGAACTTATTATAATAATATTATAATATTATTATATCAAATACAAGCACAGCCAATAAGAATAAAGAAATTAGTGCAAAGAGTATAAAATATCATTTTCAATTGTACACATACACTCGTCGATTCAGTCGATTCTACATCGTTTCTCTTTTTTTTTTTTTTCGTTTCCTCTGAATTGTTTGTCGTTCGAAATTTTCGCGACGAAAGCCAAGAGTTTCTTGTTGCTCGTTATTAAGGTTTACAGAGAATCGGCGAACGATCCTCGATTTTTATCGACTCGGAGCATCAGCGTTCCGCCAAGTGCGTCGATAGATTCGATTCGAAAAGAGAGTATCGTAATTGCCGTCGCGTTTCGGTTTATCCTTCCTCGATCGAACTGGCGGAAAAGGAAGAAAATGGTGCAGGGGAAAAATGGCGGAGCGCGCCGATGGCGTTTCCACTATGACTCATTGGCAATGATCGTTTTTTACGACGCTATCGCGAGCTTGCTAATTTCATCTGATATTTCACGATCCACGAATGGTCTTGTTTTTTCACGGACAAATCTTGACGATATTCGCGTATTTGACATTGTTCGAATCTCTTCGCGATTCCATGAAATCATCAGGGATTCCAATTATCGATTATATGTGTTAATAAACTGTTAGAAATGTCGATGATCGTGATAATGATAGGATGAGATGAGTACTAGTAATTTTTGAGAATTATCGACGACTAAAATATCCACGAGACTTGCGTCAGAGAAATTAAGTACTAAAGAATACTAACTGTTATTTATATAATTTACGAATTGTCAAATTTTTAAAAGTCCATCGTGAACTAGACAGAACAGAATATAGCGACAAAATTACAAATTAGTCACTTTGTAATAATACGTATGTACAGAAAGAACGAGCAACTAGAAAGATAGTATCATTTCTCATATGTGAATGTTAGTATCTTGTAATACAGTTGAACGATTGAAATCATACATCGTGCACGATGATACATAATTGGGTCAGTGTTCTTCGTAAAGCAAATTCTTACATTTCGATCAATTCTTATGAAATTACGACACATATCAACCTGTGCTCTCCTCCTTATCAGAAGATTACTCGTACAAACAAAATAATCAATACTACAAATATTGCTCGTTTATCTCGTCGTGTTAAATATTCGAAAAAATTCCGCCTTCTTGCCTTTCAGCTACTATCAATCGCATGTCTCAGATAAAACGGACGTTATTTCGCAGAAATCCGACAATTAGTCGAGTTAACCGGTGCAGAAGAATTCTCGATAAAAAATAATTATATACCTACTTGCTATAGGTCTGTGAACATCGGATGTCAATTATTTTCACGGTTAAATGAAACTCGTCGACGCCATTGCTACGGTGATTCACTCGGTGCAAAGTTTCCTGGGTTGAAAAAAGTCGATAAGATTTCTTCCGAGCTCCGGCTTCTCGTCGACATAATTAAGGAGGTTAAAAAGGCCTCTTCC